GGACCCTGTCCCAGAGCTACCAGTACGAGGTGTGTCTGACGGGAGGCCCTGGGACCAGCGAGTTCAAGTTTCTGAAACCTATTCACCCTAACTTCCCTCCCCAGGGCACTAGGAGGGAAATGGAGGAAAACCCCACCGTTCGGAATAGTTTCCTGTTCAGTTAAGTATCGGATTATTTTATTAAACCCTACTTAATAAGTTAGAAATCTCTTTTAAGTTAAACCTACATGTTACTAATGCATAATACTGACGGTCCGTTTTCCTGATTATTTTATTACTGTTCCTTAGGGTGAAATTTTAAAAAATCAGGTACTGGGTATGCACAGTATTTTCCCTATATTATCGTTAGTAGTTTTTAAAAATTACTCTCACTCAAGTATATTTGAAAATTTGAACAAAAGTAAATTTTTATTTGCATTATTTAAACAATTTTTAATTGAATAATCTATCCTTTTTACAAAAATTATATTCCAAAGTCCTTAAGATTGTATTTCTAAGTAGTGGTGACAATTGTTATCACTACTGCTATGTAGGGAAAAAGTTTTAATGTATTTAATATTATTTAATCAAATATTTAAAATTTTAATGTGATATTATTGAATGTATTTGATATTATTTAAAATGGAACTGGGCTTAACTAAATTATATTTAGCTGTGTTCTGTGTCCAAATAAGTGAACTATCATGACTCTTTTGTCAGGGATGATTACCAATCAATTCAATAAGTGTAGGGAACACTTACTGTTTTGTATTCCCAATATAAGTTTAGGGTAACTAAAGTGTGGAAAACTAAAGATAAACGCTAAAGATGACTAAATGCTAAAATAGCCATTCATATTTATGTGTATTTCAGTATACCACAATAGCCAATACATATATTCTATGAATATAGACTTAACAAAATTATCAACACATTAAATTAGTTTGTGAGCTTCATATAAGAATATGCTGGCCCTTTTAAAACAACACCAAGCCAATTATAAATGCTTAATAAATATTTGCTAAATGTTATTAACATACCAATAGTGAATTTAAAAAAATAACTTTCAAGGAATTAGTAATACTAATATTCTCTTTACAATATAGTATCCTTGCCAATAAGTGAAATTATTAAATATCACTGTTTTAACTTTCCTTCTAAACAGAAAACATCCTTGTTCACCCTAATCTCTATTACAGAATATAAAGTGCTTGAGAGTACATTTTATCTCCTTGTCTTTGTCTAACAGTTTGCAAGTTCAGAGGTATTTTTGGTAAAATCCAAATTATACTTTTCAAACTCCTCCTCCTTCTATATGTGTGATACCTGCCAAGCCCTAAGTAAGTTATGAGCAGCAGGTTACTAGCTTATGTCAGATTTTCCCTTCCAGCCCTGTGTATGCACCGTTTATCTTTATTAACCACAAAATCATTTACTTTCACAGTTTAACCCATATTTGATTTTATTTTTGTTGGTTATATTTGTAGTATTTTATGAAATATCCCTCTTTACAAGGTCCCATCAAAGTCTGGCAGTGACAATTGAGTGAATATTTTCTTTTTATCCTTAATTAAAATGGAACTGGGCTTAACTAAATTATATTTAGCTGTGTTCTGTGTCCAAATAAATGAACTATCATGGCTCTTTTGTCAGGGATGATTACTGATCAATTCAATGAGTGTAGGGAACCCTTACTGTTTTGTATTACCAGATATTTCCCCTCTCCTCCTTCATTCTTCTTTGGGGGAACTGCTTCTTACTCCAACCACATGGCTTTACTTGTTGCAGTGGATTTTTTCAGTAACCCCATCTGCACAGTTCCAGAGGGTGTACACTGGGATGGGCCCTGTCCAATGCTGACAGGTCAAAACCCTTCCCTAGAAAGTATATGTTTGACTTCATTGGCTTTATTGCCTTCTTCATGTTTGCAGAAAGACATTGCCTGAATTCAGAACTTACTGATTTCCAATAAAACAAATGGGCATTTCTTCTCAACTTTAGTGAGCTATGCACACAATGAGTTTATGAAGGAAAAAAAATTCCCCAAGGTTATGTATACAGAGACTGAAAAGAAATCACATTTTTCAGAAGTTACAGGCACACTGCAATTTGACTGGGAGTAGAAACTGGATTTAAAATTTTATAACTTCTTCTAACACGATAGAACAAATTCGTATATTTGTAATAGAATGTAAGCTCCTGAGAGCAAGAATTTTTGTGTTTAATTTACCGCTTTATCCTGAGAAGCTAGAAAAATTCCTGCACAGAGAAATACTTATTAAATAAATAAATAAAATTATCTTGAGCCCAGTTTTGTCTACTGAACTTGTACCTTTATAGAGAAGATGAATATATAGATAAATAGGTATTACTTTGCTCTCACAACTGTTGTTAGATACTTGAACAAAACTGCATCACAGGTGAGGGGGAAAGGAGTTTATAACACTCTATGACCCAAAAGGTGTTCAATGCAGTTTAGCTATTATTACGTTACTCTTTGAAATAAAGACTACCTGAAGTTGTGAAGCAGAACGCTTGGTGGCGCTGCAGGTTAAGAGAGTGAAAAACTGTCGCTGCATGCTCCCAGACTCCATAAAAACCGATCCGTTTCTGGCAGCTCACAAAGGAAACATTCACACTGATGGGTAAAGAAGATTTCAGAGAGGCAGCTATCCCCCTGTCAACGTTAAGAGCTAACTCAAGATTACTGAACCAAGATAGCAGAGTTGGCTGCAAAACAATTATTTTGTGATTAAATACTGCATCTTTTAGACCCGGAGGAACCATGGAGACGCCGCTACCCAAAGCGACGCAAAAAAGGCAAGTGACTGCCATTATTATTCTATTACTATTGTGGGAGGTGGGTGGTGCGGTCATTAAGTATTCCGTTCTAGAAGAGAGACACAGCGGCTCATTTGTGGCCAACCTAGCAAAAGATCTGGGGTTGGGCTTAGGAGAGCTGGCCTCGCGGGGCGCCCGGATTCTTTCCAAAGGGAATAAACAGCATTTGCAGGTCGAGCACAAGAGTGGGAATTTGCTCCTAAAAGAAAAACTGGACCGGGAAGAGTTGTGCGGTGACATGGATCCATGTATACTGCATTTCCAGGTGTTACTGAAAAACCCGGTGCAGTTTATTCAAGGTGAATTACAGCTCCAAGACGTAAATGACCATGCCCCTGAGTTCCTGGAAAATGAAATCCTACTGAAAATCTCAGAAAGTAGCCATACAGGAACCGCATTTCCTTTGAAAATAGCTCAAGATTTAGATGTGGGCAGTAACACAGTTCAGAACTACACAATTAGCACCAACTTCCATTTCCACCTTTTCACTCGAAATCGCAGCGACGGCAGGAAATACCCGGAGCTGGTGCTGGCCAAAGAGCTGGACCGTGAGGAGCAGCCAGAGCTCAGGTTAACCCTCACGGCGCTGGATGGTGGGTCACCGCCAAAGACTGGGACTTCCCAGGTTCTCATCATGGTCTTGGACATAAATGACAACGCCCCTGAATTTGCTCAGCAGCTCTACGAGGTGCAGGTCCCAGAGAACAGCCCTATAGGCTCCCTTGTCATCACTGTCTCTGCCAGAGATTTGGATGCTGGGACCCACGGAGAGCTCTCCTACTCATTTTTCCAATCATCAAATCAAGTCATTCAGGCCTTTGAAATCAACACAGTAACGGGGGATATTCGATTAAAAAAAATGTTGGATTTTGAGGAAATTCGATCTTACCGTATGGAAATTGAGGCCTCAGACGGTGGGGGTCTTTCAGGAAAATGCACTGTAGCCATAGAAGTGACGGATGTAAACGACAACGCCCCTGAATTGACCATGTCATTACTCATGAATGATATCCCAGAAAACACCCCTGACACTGTGGTCGCTATTTTCGGAATTTCAGATCCAGACGCCGGGGACAATGGCAAAATGATGTGTTACATCCAAGACCATCTCCCATTCCTTCTGAAAATTTCTGTAGAAAATTTCTACGCCTTGGTAACAGAAGGAGCGCTGGACAGAGAGAGCAGAGCCGAGTACAACATCACCATCACCGTCAC